CTTTGTCTACTTCTTCCTCGTCTTCTTCTCCTTCCGATATCCCTTGTAATCCTTCCTCTCCACGCCGTTCTGACCGTCCTCGCCAGCCCTCTCAACGTCTTGCTGACTCTTTAGGCATCCACCGTGTCGGTCCTATCCAACGCGCCGTCGAAGAATCCCGAGCTATCGGTGAGCGTCTTCGTGCCGACCGTTTGGCTCGCCGCCAGGTGTCGCAGCCTGAGGAGGAGGTTTTCTCATCCAACGACTCGACCGATATCAACCCTGCCCAACCGGATGCCCCCACGTCGATTGCTGACGCACTTAGTCGCCCTGACGGTCCTCACTGGGAAGCAGCTCTCTTGGATGAATTCAAAGGCTTCAAATCACTCGACGTCTTCGACCTGGTACCACCCGATTCCGTCCCTACCGACCGCCGTATCCTCACCGGTAAAGCTGTTTTTGCTCGTAAATATGACCAACATGGCGTCCCTACTCGCTACAAGGCCCGCTGGGTCTGCCGTGGTTTTGAAGCCATGTACGGCCGCGATTACACACGCACTACCTCGCCTACCATGCGCATGGAATCTTTCCGTGTCCTCCTCCATATTGCTGCCGCTAACAACTGGGAGTTACATCAGATCGACGTCAAAACCGCTTTCCTTTATGGCGCACTTGAGCCCGACGAAGTCTGTTACATGTATCAGCCCCCCGGTTTCGAGGAACCGGGCAAAGAGAAATGGGTTTGGAAGCTAAAGAAGGGCCTGTACGGGATGAAGCAAGGCGGCCGCGTCTGGAACCGTACCATGAACGCTCGAATGTTGGAACTGGGCTTCACCCGCCTCCCCTGCGAGTACTGTCTCTATTTTCGCACTACTCCTGATGGCACCATTATCTCCGGCGTCCATGTCGATGACTTCGCCATGGTCGGCAGTACTCCCCGGGCCATCCAAGTCTTCAAGGACGAACTTCGCCGTACTTGGCAGATCTCAGACCTGGGCGAAGCTCAATTTTGCATCGGCATTGCCATCCAACGCGACCGCACCACTCGAACCATCTCCTTGTCGCAAACTGCCCTCATCGATAAAATTATCAGCCAATTCAACCTTACCGACTCCCACCCAACCACTATCCCCATGGATCCCAGCCTTCGTCTATCCCGCCGTGACCGTTCTGCCTGCTCGGCCGACGAACTTCGTGATCTCGACAAAACACCTTACCGCGCTCTCGTGGGCAGCCTCATGTACCTTGCCATTGGCACTCGTCCCGACATCGCCTTCGCCGTCCAACAGCTATCGCAATTCCTCGATTGCTATGCACCCTCTCACTGGGAAGCCGCAAAACGGGTCGTGCGATACCTTAAAGGCACTCGGACTCTAAAACTGCACCTTGGTGGCAACCACGCTGCCCGCCTCGTGGGATTCACAGATGCCAGCTATGCCGCTTGCCCCGACACTCGCCGTTCCACCTCCGGATACTGTTATTCCCTTGGAACTGGCCTCGTCTCTTGGTCTGCTCGGAAACAAAAGACGGTCTCGACTTCTTCCTGCGAGGCTGAATACGTTGCTGCTTCCGACTCTGCCAAAGAAGGGATATGGCTCCGGGCACTACTATCCGCCCTCAACCTCCCACAACGTGATGCTACCCCCCTGCTCTGCGACAACAACGGGGCTATTGTCCTCTCAGGCGATCCTTCTTTCCACTCCCGCGTGAAACACATCGATATCAAATATCACGTCCTCCGCGAATACGTCAACTCCAACCAACTCTCCGTCTCCTACATGAATACCCATGACAACCTAGCCGACGCCTTCACTAAACCTCTCGGCCCTAAGCCTTTTCTCCGTTTTCGGACTTTCATGGGTCTCTCTTAATCTTTGTCGGTCACCCCTTTTTTTCCTTTTTTTATTCTTTTTATTATTTTTTTATTTTTTTCCTTTATTTCTCGGGATTGAGGAGGAGCCTCTACCACCTTATGTTCGTGTTGAGGAGGAGTGTTGAGCTGAGTGCAACACGATACGGGCGCTCGGCTCTTTCCGCGTATGTACTGAACGCGCTCCACACATTTCCCTTTCCCTCAGTCGTTCTACCACCATACGGCTGAGGTGAGATTGTCCGTCTTTGTATACACGCATATAACTGATCATATTCGAGTAGTTAATAGGCGTGTTGTTTAGGTATATAATACAGTCGTTCTACCACCATACGGCTGAGTTAATAGGCGTGTTGTTTAGACTTAACACTGTATATCTTCACAAATGCACGGCTAACAGCAGGATGTTCATGTCAGTGGAATGACAATGAAGGCAGAACCGCGGGGGCGCCGTACCATTACAAAATTCGACCGCCACAGCGCGGAGCGCTCTGACTCGAGCTAACACACGGTTTACACACCCCGAGGGCCGATACAGAGTGGTCTTGATCAGATCATCTTATTCCGAGTTCGCCAGGTTTCGATGGGTGAGCATATTCGCACCTAAATTGGTCCCATAATGGTATGGTTCAGTAGAAGGACGGACCGTCAAGTATGTTCGATTGACAGAGCAACCACCCAAGTCGTACTGAAAAGTTATTTCGAGGAGAACATCTTTGACTGGGAACACATGTTCCAGTAGCCTCCTTCAAGTTCACCTGGACATGTTAAACCAACTATGTAAGTCCATTGAGCTGACTAACAGCTTGCAGACCTTGTCCAATATTGACAAAGTCCAACAACACGAAGTTCGGAGCACGACCTGCTGCGAAGCCAGCACAACCCGCAGCATTGGCAAGAATCCTTATTGCTCGTATCAGTAATGCCGAGGAAGACACAGCATATACTAGTACTCACGATTGGACACTGTTTGTTTTTGGAGCATCTAGAGGATCACTCACAACAACTCCCGCATCAAGGACGTCGTCGTTAAGAGAGTGATTGATCATATACATATGATCAGCCGTACTCAAAGGACTGGTAATCCTGTCAACTTTGCAAGGGAAGCTAGAATCTGTGACACTGAAGGGTGTTTCCCATATCTATTCAACACAAACCATTAGAAAAAGTTTGCGAAACTTGTACAAATGAATATAGTTACCATCGGGAATTCTGGTAGGATATATGGAACAGTTCGGTCCACGTCAGCTCCGGCATCAAGCAAAACGATGACGCGCTTTCCGCTATCAATTAGTTCTCCCAAAGTTGGCCACTAAGTATGTCGTCAAGGCCGCCAATAGTGTAGGCTCGTTCCCATCCGTTTTAGGTGCGAGCTCGCGAGCTACCTAAAACGGCTGGTACAACCTGCAGCCCTTTTCGACCCCCCCTGCGAGGCGCCGGCCCTGGGAAACTGGACTTGTGTCTCGCGCAGAAAGCTGTCTCTTCATAAGTATTAAGTGAAGGTTCACTGCGCGGCGCATTGGGTCCTGTTACTTTCTTGTAGCTCACTTCAGGTATTATATTTATTTGCTCTTCATTTTTGAGTCACAGTTCCATGAATGTTCAACACTGATGACAGGTTCAATCTCAACTCTTCAATTTATCGAGCTGGTAGTCCCGGGCAGATGCAGGGACATCATCCATGAGCTCTCCGAGACCTTGCACCACTCAAATATACTGTGGCCTCTGAAAACTTGTTGATAGACAAAACAAGGGAGGTCAAACAAAAATATGTAGTGCAGTAGTGCCCACTGTCCAAGCGCGCCTCCTCATGAGGCCTTCTCTATTAAGAGACAGCTTTCTGCGCGAGACGCAAGTCCAGTTTCCCAGGGCCGGCGCCTCGCAGGGGGGGTCGAAAATGGCTACAGGTTGGCCCAGTCCGTTCGCAAGCTCACGGGCTCGCCCCGTTAAGGAAAGCTTGTGTCGGACTGGCCACGCGAGTCTACCAATAGTGAATTACAATTCTCAAATCGCAAGGTCCCTCAGGACGCTCCACCCGCATCAGCAGGGCAACATGCCGGTTGATGGCCTTGCAAGCACGTGCCGTCCCAAGATAGTAAACGGGCTCAAAGTCTTCGAGTAGAGGTCTCTTTCTATCGACTCAGACGTCCTGCAGTACGCAGTACAACGGGTGCACACAATATGAGGTTCTAATAGATTTTTTTTGCAAGCCTGGGGATGACTTTTGGCCAAGTTTGCCAAAAGAACATAGAGGTACTTCCTACTGTTTTAGGAAGGTGCCGCAGCGGCAGTCAGTCGGCATGTTGCCCGTTGATGCGAGTGGGGCTCTCCCGTCGTCCTGAGGGACCTTGCGATTTGAGAATTGTAATTCCCTAATGGCATGCAAGTTCGGAATCAGGGTGACAAAATCGGACTCACATCGCTTTGCTTCACCGGAATAGATGATGGAACATATGCCAAGTCCGCGATCCCCGAATCTCGAAAGGCAGGTCCCCATATATTTGGGAGCGACAGATTTTCTGGATTGGTGAAAATCAAAGTCAACACTTCATTGGGATTTGATTTTAAAAATGAAGTTGTATATGCAGACGAAGAGGAAGCATTGGCAATTCGCTCAAAGCTTCAAGCGGCAGTTGCACTTGACAGTTGTTTGGAACATTGGTTCTGGCATATGTAGGATGGGGGTATCCAAGTGGTCTGTGATAAACCCATGCAGAAGGCATCGCATGGGACTGTCATCGCGTGTTCCCAACGTCTACATCTGATTTAGTAAAAATATCATGAAGACATAGCCTGAGACACCTGCGTGGACACATGCTTCTGCATGGAGCACCTGTGTAGATTGTCATGCTGAATCCTTGACATTTTGACTGGCCAACGTGGATATAGGTCTGTCGTGCGCCTCGTCATGGAATGCTGTGTTTGCCTTGATTCAGCCTACAGGGGGAGGGGGGCATTTGCACGTCAAAATCGTGCCTAAATTGTTGAACAATGAGACTCGCGAAACACTTACTTTAGGACCAATGTTACATCCTTTGTACTGGCATAGTGACTTGTTTCGATGAGAATGAATGGCATTGAATGAAAGCTTGAATAAAATGACGGCGCGTACTTAACAGATTTCTTGCCCAACTCAGAAAAACAAAAAGAATGGACATGTCCGGGATTGAACCGGACCCCTCTCACAAGCGTAAATGCTAAGCGAGCGTGATAACCAACTACACCACATGCCCTTGCGACTGGGCGACTTTTGATGGTATTGACTGAGTCTTAAGCGTTGGCACAAATAATAAATACTGTAGATTCACTCAGGGCGGATGGGAGGTTCTCGCAAGGGGGCAGGGCATCTTGCCATGTAAGCAAGCCAATACACTGGCATTTAACTGGCAATACTTACATGACCAAAGCGTCAGCTTGAAATTGACCGTTGACTCAGACCGTTAGCCTTTTCTCATGGCTCGTGACCGTGACGTGACATCTGACTTGGTCACGGGATCGGGCGCGTGGGCCCACAAACCTTGAACCAGAATGAACTTTTATGATTAACCGCATAGGTAGCACTTGTTCAGATTCCACCAAGGAAAATCCCGGTTGATTGTGTCTATTCCTCCTCAACTACATTCTCTACAGTCGCCCATGCCTGGTCCCAATACTCGTTCTGCGTCTCGACGCCCTTTACAATCCAATCGAAGTCTGAGTAATGTGGATACAGGGGACATCATCATCCTCTCGTCCGATGACGAAAGCTCAACAATACCCAAGAAACGTCCTTCACAGATGTCTTCTTCAAGAGGACAGCACAACAAGGTTGCGAGGAAGAATATCGTTGTACCTTCGTGCGAGATTGTAGAGATTTCGTCCGACGAAGAGACCGTGCCACCGCCAGTAGCGTCGTCAAGCGCTGCCGCAGCGCTACAAGTGCAAGTAAAGGCATTGCAAGAGGTATTTGCTAAATCTGGGCGTGTCTTCTTCAGATTAACTGAGTACAATTCGTAGGAGAACGCACGACTGAAGTTGCAACAAGTGGTAAGCTGCTGTTCACTGGCCCTCAAGTGTTGCCATTGAACCTTCCACGGATTCTAGACGTCGTCCAGTAAGGCGAGACAAGCTCAGGTATTGGCGTTCTTGTGACATAATGGACCGCGGGCTTATCTGGTGTTCATTGCAGGATGAACTACTCAAATCCTTCGAGGAACGACTCTCGTGCGAAATCTGCGTTGGGCTAATGTGGTCTCCCTACTTGTGAGTATTTTTGATTGCCTCTGGAATGAGGGTCCTCAAAACATACTTCAGACTCTCTTGCGGGCATACTTTTTGTCTCAGTTGCCTTCAAGATTGGTTCAGTACCACTCTTGCAAAACATATGACAGAAAATCCTGCGTACAACCCCAACCCGCCCGTCCTTCAACAATACCATGCCTTCCTCCGGCACCCACACATTACCCCAATCCAGCGTCGCGAAGTGGAAGAGAGTATCCAGCGACTTTTGACCAGTATGAAGCATCCGACGTATACCTGCCCCACCTGTAGGGAACCCATCAAAGATAAGCCGACTGAAGTTTATATTGTCAAGGAGATGGTGCGGGCAGTTGCGGAAAAGCAGGGTGTCCCCAGTCCCAAGCGGCAAATGCCTCCTAGGGGCACAAAACTCGAGGGTCCATGGGATGGCTTCTTCCCCAAGATTCATCCGTGATTGTTTCGGTTTCGCCGTTTTTGTCTAACGCAATCCTCCTATTGTATTATCTTCATTCCCTTCTTCTGTTCCATGTCAGCCCCCTTCGGTGCTCAAACCTTTGTCTGTCACGACTTACTATTTTTATGACCACTTAACTCGGTGTGGGATTACCATAAATACGCATAAATAGTGAGGATATTGGCATAAGTACAAGGTAAGTAAATCTACAGCGGTCAATGTCATCGTGACAGGTCATTGATAATGATATCTCGGCTTCGAATTTTCAGCGTCGTTTCGTTTGTCGAGGTTTCGCAGCAGCCTTCCCCTTCCCTCTCTTTGACGTCGCCGACGGGACCTCAATGATCTCTACGTCCGAATCAACAGTCGAGCTCTTCCGTTTGGAACCTGTTTGTGACAGAGTCTCCAATTCGATGCTATCAACATCGATGGGATCCCCCGCCGTAGACCCGGTAGAAAATCGAGGCAATGCTGGGCTTGCTCTCAAAGACGATACTACCGACGCCTGTCGTGGAGCAGCAGAGCCCCGAGAACGTATGGAGGAAGCAGGCGATGGTCTTCGGGATGCGGAACGTCGGTCAAGTTGAATCTGGTGATGATGCAGCGAAGGAAGTGGACCGGTCTCTTCTGTGTGCTCCGCCCGTTCCAGGTGTTGCGCGTCGCTACCTATACTGAGAGGTACGCGCGACTCCCTCCAATCACGCTGGTATATAGTCTCCGATGAAAGATCATCTTGGAACGTCCGGATCGTTGTCTCTGTCTTGCCGTCCCTTTCACCGGGGACTATCACATGTTCGTTAGTGATACGGGTGGCGAACAGTTCAAGAGAGAGAGATGCAGAATTCTTGACGCTGGTCCGTTCCTCACCTTCCTGGTCTTCGGATTTCGATTGACCAGGAGCTGGGTCTCCTAGGTTCTCAGTCCATTCCCAAGGTCGGTTCTGAACGGGTGTCAACAAGGTATGCCCCGTCGCATCTTGCGATGCGTATGCAAGGTTTGCAACAGCAGCATTAAGAGCGACATAGGGTAAGATAGCGCGAATACGCTTGCGAAATTCGTTCGGCATACTTGGAGGAAGTGATCGTAGTTCGAATGGAGGGTATAGATTGAGGGGAATAGGACTAGCAGCCTTGGGGTCAAGAGGATAATCTAAAGAAGCACAATATCAGTGCATGCTCCAGTTGGTTCCAGGATATGCTAACCATCAATCATATAGTACATCGTGTCCAGGGTCAAAGCAAAGATGACGGGATCAAGGGTGACGCCGGACCCGTAGTACTATCAGAGGATGAGTCTATGATCTTTCTGCGTAGCTGATTGGCTCACCAGCAGCATTCGGGCCAATTTATGGCAGAAGTGTTCGCATAAGTCTTTCAACGCAGACGTCCATACACCCGGAACCCCAAGGTTGAATTGCACCAATCGCAATAAGAAAGTGATGGTATGGCCCAGCCTGTTTAAATCAAGGCCGGAAGATGTTCCAGCAACCTCGGTACCTAATAGCCTGTCGGCGGCATCGAGTCTCCCAAAAATACTGATCATCAATTTATCTCGTGCAGGGTCCTCGATTGTCGGGATTGCTTGGCCAGCATTTCGAAGAGATTGTGCAATGGAGCTCAGTAGTCGAAGTACTTCACCGGCGGTGGGAATCATGTTTGCAAGATCCTCCATTGACGAACTCTGGAATTCATCCAGAAGCTCAATCATTCGACGCAGTCCGGCGAGGATGAGCTAAGGAGCGAATCGTTCAGCCATGATTGCCCAGAAGGCATAGCCCGTAGGATTCACCTTGCCCGCAATCGGAACGGATAGATCCTTCATCATCTGCGCAACAAAATCGCTCTGTTCCGAGGTCATATCTTGATGAAAGACCTTAGCAGCTCTCTGGTCCAGTAGCTCATTCGCGCGTCGTCGTGTTGCGTCCCTATTTAGAGCAGAGCTCAGTTGCTTCATGCTGAACCTATCCTCCATGAAGGTTGCGGCTAATTTCCAGGGGCTCAGTGCTGCCGATGTCTGTGCGTGTGACATATCACTGCTACCGGAGACTGAATATCGATGTCGAGTGAGGCTAGCTTGAAGTAGCATGATACAGTATGCTCACCAGCTTGTCCGTCACCCAGCATTAACCGCAATGCATTGATCAGGGCTTCATGTATCTGAATAGGAACGTTCTCGTCTTCGAGCACTCTTTCAAATGCGCGATTGACCGTGTCTAGATCTCGATATACTCCCTGCCGGAAGACGTTCATACTACAGATAGTTCTGCGAAAGTCGGAATAGGAAGCTCGAATGCCGTGTGGCACGTGAGCATTCTCCTCCAGCAGAACAAGGATCGGGGTATTCCTGATCAGCGATGCGAAATGCGGTTCACGATAGACATCTCTTCGGCGCGTCTGTAATCCGCAAGCCTCGCAGAAGTTCGCAGGTGGATAATCAACCCCACATTCCGTATTGAGCAGAAGACGGTTGCAGAGTTCTTTGACTGCCGTCAAGAGTATACTAAGTGATTGACCTTGTTGAGGTGAATTAGCGGAAGCACCGAGTAGCCAAACGGGATACGCAACGCCTTCCAAAATAGTAGTGGTGGCTAAGGCTCCGTTTACCGATAGTTGGAGGAGGACCACCGTTATAACATCCCATTCTTCGGCAGAAAAGGACGCGACCTTGTCTTTGCCCGGTCCCTCGAACCATCGCAAGACGTGGTCATCGAACCCTGAAGGGAGGTGGTGTTCCACGTGAGTCAGGAATGCAGCGTATCTCAGGGCACACGCTCTGCGAGCTGCGACATCAGTGCCGGGAATCACACTTGGTATCTCTCGTATGCTTGAAACTGTATTGTCCCACGCGACCCATGCCCAGTTAGGTGCCGTACGGTACTTATACCACAGGCTGTTGGCGAGATTGGACGGAGCCTCTGGTCGACTATCCGAGGTGAGAAACGGGATATCCGATAGGAAAGCTGGACAGTCAATGGTCTCCCCGGTCACCGGAGCTAGCGCCTGCTCACAGTTAGTATACAGGAAACACGACAAGGTGGCATCGAGGACACATACGTTCGCGTAAGCAGCTTTATCAGTCAGTACTTGGTCGCGTGCAGCCTGGTCAAGATACCTTCCGTTATCCACCTCAATCAGCAGGTTCATTAAGTCGGCATTGTTGACACCTTGGCCTCTCCAGTAGTGATGGGCGGCATAAAGCGAGTTGGCGATGTCTTTGAGCTTGTTCATGCATGCCCACATTTCCATGTGCTGCCGCAGTGTCCATATCACCACCGTAAGAAGATCAGTATGCTTGCCGTACTCCAGGGCGAAAAGAGTTAGCTGTAAGACAAATTAGCATCAAATAGGGAGCCATGCAACAATAGCCGTACCTCCAACATCGTTCCATAGCATTTGCAATGAGCCATCAAGACTGTCGACACGCAGTACGTTTTGGCCCAGGAGATGTCCGTACTGGATGGCTCAATCCTTTGGCTGGACGACGTCAGTACAAATCAAGAACCGATGCGTTTGCGAGATAAGTACCTCATCAAGTTCTTCT